TGCAGGAATGATGAAGGACACGGGCTCCCAGGGCTGTGCGTAGACTAGCAGTGGGCAGGAAGTTTACACAGTACGACCAGCACCGAAATCTTGCCACCCTGTGCCTGGTTCTCTGGGATGAGATATCCAGCCCCCTTTCGTATGTGCCTTGTTTTCTAACATTTTATTATGTTACAATGCTGAGCATCCAGAATGCTGGAAAGAATTGTACAGCGAATACCTGTACCCTCACCACCTGGAATCTACGATAAACAGTTTGCAATATTTGTGTTATCGCATATTCATCCCTCATTCCATCCTGCTACCCATCCATGAATCCACCCTTCAATCTATTCATCTCTATCCCTCCATCCATCCTTTTTAAAAAATTTATTATATATAGTTTTGAGAAAGAGAGAGAGATAGCACATGTGCACTCAAGGCATGGGAGGGAGGGGGAGAGAAAGAGAGAGAGAGAGAATCCCAAGCAGGCTCCATGCTCAGTGTGGAGCCCGACATAGGGCTCGATCCCACGACCCTGGGATCATGATCCAAGCCAAAATCAAGACTCAGACACCCAACTAACTGAGCCAGTCAGGTGCCCCATATTTTTTGATGTATTTTTGAGCATGAATTTTATTTTTTTTAATTTTAAATGTTTTTTATTTATATTTGAGAGAGAGAGAGAGATGGATGGAATGCAAGCAGGGGAGGGGCAGAGAGAGGGAGACATAGAATCTGAAGCAGGCTCCAGTCACTGAGCGGCCAGCACAGAGCCTGACGCCAAGACTCAAACTCATGACCCATGAGATCATGAGCTGAACTAAAGTCAGACACTTAACCAACTGAGCCACCCAGGCGCCCCTGAGCATGAATTTTAAACATGAATGTGAGGCCTGGGCCAAATGACATTCTCCTCTCCTCCTTCTCCCTGACGGTGACAGGCTTTGCTGCACACACAGCACACATGCTGACATGTAAAGCCATGTGCACACACCATGTATGATTCATCCATGTCCCCCTTCACACTGTGTACTCCACGCATGCATCCACATGTATCCACACACGCACACACCGCACATAATCACCCATGCGCACACAGGTAGTCTCTCTCTCTCTCTCTCTCTCTCTCTCACACACACACACACACACACACACACACACAGTGCCCACATGTGCCTTCATGGCACCCCCTTGATGACTATGAGGGAAGGATCCAGAGACCTTTGCGAGTCCTCAGACCTTGACCCTCATGGAGTCCATGCCAGGTTCCTGCTGACTCCCTGCTCCTCATTTCTGGCAAGCGTCAAGGGCTCCCCTTCAGCTCGCACCCCGCCATGTCCCACCTCGCCTGCCTGCTTTCATCCGTCTCTCCCACCTCCCAGCCCCATCCCACAAAGCACCTTCCACAGAGATTCTTTCCAAGTGTTACCGCCTAGAGGCACAAAGCCCACCGGACTGTCCCTCCTGGAAGGCAGGGGCTGTGTTGCTCTCGCCCACAGCCCCTCCCCAGCACCTGGGATGGGCAGACCCCCTCCAAATGTTGGTTGAAAAACGGACAGACGTGGCAGAGCAGTACATATACTGAGCGGCCTCGGGGGCACCCGGTCACACACACACCCGTGCACACACAACACTCTCTGCGCTCATCTATGCTCACACCGGCGTCATGCACGCATCTGCACACCTGTGAACATGCACTCGCTGGGGGTATATGCCTGTCTACCCGTTTCCCTGTTTCCATACTCTGCAGATGGAGTCAATTCCGGTACCTGGATCCTTTCCCAAAGCCTTGGTCGCCTAAGACCACTATGAGCTTGTTTGCTGGGGTGTGAGGTCCCAGTGGGCCCAGGGCTCCTGGCTTGGTCCTGTGCATCTGTGTGGCAGGGGTCAGGAGTACCAGCTGCGACAAAACCTGGCTTCCGTCCTTGCTCTGCACGTAATCACTGTGTACATTCTACATATGGTTTATACTGCAGTACTTAACTTCCTGGAGCATCAACGTCCTTATCTGTTAAATGGGGAGAATGATTTCCTTAAAAGCTTCTTATAGGAGATGCTCTTAGCAGAGTGCTTGGCATGTTGTAGACACTTTAAAATGGTTGCTGTGGACATTATTATTATTACTTCAACCTTTGCCCCAAACTCCCGTGCACCCTTTGGGAGGGAGGACAGCCATGCTGGGGGGCTGTGTATGGGGAGAGCGGGTGGAGGGTGCCTAGTGAACAGCTCTCCCCACGACCTCCTCCAGTCCCAAGCCCTCATTATCCCACATGCATATTCATAAGAGATAGCCTCAGCCCCACCCTGTAAATGGGTCAGAAGCAGGAAGTGGAGGCCAGTGTGGAGAGCGCGGCCCGGCAGACAGGAGGAGGCTCGAAGCTAGGGTGCATCTGAGTCCTCATGGACGGGAGAATGGTGAGAAAGGATCGGGCAAGAGTGTACCGGGGAACACCGGGGAGCACTGGGAGCTTGAGCAGGGGATTATTCCTCTATTGACATTTGGACGCCGAGGCCCAGTGAGATCCGATGGGAGAACCCTTGGGGTGCGTGGGAAAGAAGTAGAGCCTGTTTCCTTTGGGATCTGGAGAGCTGAGCCCCTTTCTGGGCTGGGTGATAGGCACAGAGGGATGGACCGACTGACTCTTGTATATTTCTCTCAATGGCCACAGTTTGTGTGGCTTGATGGAGTTGGACGAGCCATGATTATCCTGAATCCCAACCTCCAGTGGGGCTCAGAGAGGCTGGGTGGCTTGCTAGGATCACACAGCTACTGACTGCGATCTTGCCTCTGGAGGCGTGAGAGACAGAGTGACTCTGGCCCAGGAAGGAGGTTCAAGACTGGGAGAGGGGTGGGCATGCTGGGCAAGATACAAGAAATGAAGCCTCTTTATCTACCTCCTCATTTCACCTCGCAATAATCTCCTGAGACAGCTCAAGCCAAAATGATGGTCTCCATTTTACAGATGAGAAGCATGAGGCTGAAAGAGGAGGAGTCGCCGGGACAAGGCAGCCCAGTGAGTTATCTGTGGCGCGGCCAGCCCCTCCACGTAGGGTGCTGCGGGGGCCTCTCGCCTCAGTCTTGGGGATCTCAGGCACGGTAGGACCGGGACAATGGCAGTACTGCCACTCTGCTCTGCAAAACCACCATCTAAAACCAGACCCAGTTGAGGCCTGTGAATCCCTCCCTCCTTTTAGACGACTGCCTATTTCCTCGAGTGCTTTCTCCATGTCCACAACTGCTTGGGGAAGGAAAGCAGCGTGAGCATCCCCATGGGCTGGGAATGGGCTGTCTGGGGACCAGACCATCAGTCACAACCAGCTAAGGAAACTGGGCTCGCAGAAGTTCAGATGTGCATTCATTCAGCAAGGGCTGACCACTTACTATGCGCCAGGCTTGCTGCTGGTGCAGACGTGACTTGGATAAAGTCCCTTGAGGGTCTCAGACTAGGGAAGCACAGTACCTGTTATTGGACAGAAAGAGAGAATATCGTTGCATCTGCTTTCCAAGAGAGGCAGTGAGAGGTCAGGGACAGACCTTGGGTTCTGAGGTCAAGGCCAGGCCAGGTGGTCTTCCAGCCCTGCCCTTCTGACCTGGGTGGCCTTGAGCAACAACAAGAACAGGCAATAATCATGGCCGGTATTCATTCGGTGCTTAGCTACCATAGAGCACATCACTTTACGTACCTGAGCCTCAGTTTCCTCATCTATAAATTGGGTGGGGTGGGCAATAAATCTATTTCTCAGGGCTATTGGGGGGCTTGAATGGGACTGTGTGGGTGGCAGAAGCTGGTACGGGCTCGAGCCTTGTGGCAACTTTAGTTATTCGTGAGGCCATAACAGAGGCCCATGTGGTAGAAGCACAGGGAAACTGGGGGATATTCATTCCTAATTGGGCCGGGGAGTGGTTTGGGGGTGGTGGTGGTTCTTTTCACTGAGAAGATAGGGGATGTGGGCAAGGCTTTCAAGGGCAGAAAGGGGGGCAAGGAGAAAAAAGGACTTTCTGGGGGGCGGGGAGGCTGTCGGGCCATCATGGGGGCAAAAGAGTGGAGGAGGGAAACTGTAGGGTGTGATTGCGGAACAGTCCTGGTCACAATTAACAGCCTGGCACCCCATGAATCACCCAAGGAGGCGGTCAGGCCGGATCTTTGGCCTCAGGGCCTACTGTGAGGCACCTGGACCATAGGCTTGGGTGAGGAGAGGGCTGGAGGGTAAGCCGAGCATAATTACAGAGCCCCGCTTCTCCCACTTACCCCTGCAGGGTGGCGGGCTGGAAATGTGACCCAGCCACCCCTGCTGACCTCCTTAGCTGGGGGCCAGAGTTTGGCCATCCCTGGGGAGCAATAAGCCAGCCAACAGAAATGGCTCAGAGAAGCATGTGGCCCAAGACAGGAGTCTTGGAGGAGCTTGAAGGCAGGTGGATGGAGGGAAGGATGGCTGTAAGAGCGTGAGGCCGGGGTCTTGCGAGAAACAGGGGTGTCAAGTAGCTCACATTTGCCAGGCATCTGTTGTGTGTTATAAAAGCCCCAGGAGGTGGGTATCCTCACTTCACAGACGGGGAAACTGGGGCTCAGAGAGGCGAAGCGATTTGCCCAAGTTTCTTTATCCAATCATGCACCGTTCAACACCCATGTTTTGGGTAGAGGCTCTACACCGAGGAGTTTGGGGTGCCCCCAACTTGGCTTCTGCCCCCTTGGGAGGGGGCAGTGTTACAAGGTCACACTGCGGCCTCGTCTGGACTCGATATTTCCCAATGCTCGCTTTGGACCAGGACTTGAACCCGGGGCAGAGTCGGGGCGGCAGCACGGCTCGCACGGCCGCGGGGAACCCTGCACCCCCTCACTTTCCCTACGGGTCACGCCCGTGCCGCACCTGCCCCAGGTGAGTTTCGGGAGGCTCCGAGCGCCGCCGGAAAGCGACGAGCGGCTTCGGCAGGTGGGGCTGGGCTGGGCGGGGGCGGGGGCGGGGGCGGGGCCCGGCCGGGGCGGGGCGGGGGCGGGGGCGGGGCCAGGACCGGGCGCCCGGAGTCCCAGGAACCCGCCGCCGGCGCCCCGCGCCCCGCGCCCCTCGCCGCCGCCATGGGGGCCTGCCTGGGCGCCTGCTCTCTGCTCAGCTGCGTGAGTCCCGAGCCCCGAGCCCGCCCGCGCGCCGCCGGCCCCTTCTTTGGCCCCGCACTTTTGTCCCGTCTTCTTCCTCCAGATAGTTTCTTCCTTTTCCTTCCTCCAAACTTGTCTTTCGGGGCCCGCACCCCGCCACCTCGCCCCTCGGGTCCCCGCGTCCCTCGGTCCCCCCACCCCCATCCCGGACCTGCGGGCGCCGGGGACAGCTGCTGTCGCGGGCTCGGGTTACGGGGCGGGGGGAGGGGTTGGGGCGCGCCCGGGTTGCGGGGCGGGCCTTGGGCAGCCGCCCCTCCCGGGACCTGGGGAGACCGAGGCCCAGAGCCCGGGGTGCGGGTGCGGGTGCGCGCCGCGACCCCAGCCGGCCCAACTTCCTCGCGGTGCGCCCCTCGTCTTCCTGTCGGACATTAGGATTCTTTGTGCGGCCCGCCCGGGCTCTGCCCCTCTCTGCGCTGTGGTGTGTCTTCTCTGTCCCCCTGGCAGCCCGTCCGTCAGCCTGTCGCCCTGCCCGCCTGCCTGAGTTTGTCCATGTGTATTTGTCTGACGACTGTTTCTGTCCGTTCGTTTATCCGACTGTCTTTGTCCGCCCGTGGCTGCTCCACCAGTCATTGTCTGCCCCACGGTCTGTCCGTCTGTCCTACCGTCCAGTCTGTCTCTCTGGGTCCGTCTCTGCCGCGTTCAGCCTGGCTCAGTCCCGGGCAGTTCCCCAAGGAACCCCGGACCCTACCCACTCCGGGCCCCATAGCCTGAAATGGGGGTGGGGAGGAAGCCCCCAGCCGCCTTTCTAAGCCACCCCTGAGTGAGGTCGATTTGGTTTGCCTCTGCCACCGGGCCCACCTCGGGGTTGGAAGACCCAAGAATTGAGAGAGTGGGGGTAGTACCTGGGCGCCTGGGCACGGGGACCTGGGGGCGTTGGGGATAGCCAGCCTCTGCTTTGGGGCTGCAGCCAGGACCGGGAGGAGCTTGTGCCAGACCCCGGCTGGGAGGCCCCTTCTTCTTTCCCTTTTCCCAGCCCCCTCTCCTTTCCCTCTTCCCCTCATTAAACCCGAGGTTCATTCAGGCAGCTCCCTCCCCCTCGGCCCTACACAAAGAGGAGCAGAGGCGAAGAGCTGAATCTGGTGGCTATTGACTCTCAGGCCTTGCTTTCCTTTGTCCCTGATTTGTGTGTGTGTTAGGATGGGTGGGATGTAAAGGTGGCAACTTAGGGATCTAGAGATTTCCTTCACAACCATTTTCTGAGAGTGATATCGGCCCAGAGAAGCTGTAGAGTGGGTCTCTGGACAGCCTCTGTCCTCTCTGGGCCTCCATTTACCCACCTGTGAAGTGTGCATGGGGGTGTGTGTGCAGAATCAAGGACTGGCCCCTGAGATCCCTTTCCGCCCAGTGAATTCTAGGTGTGGGCTTGGCTCTCTTGGCCAAGAGAGGTTTGCTTCCTGGTGGGGGAGGGAGCCGGCGGGCTTGGGAGAGGCACACGTTGAGGGGCGACCTGCCAGTCCCCTGTGCCTCCGTCTCCCCATCTGCCTCCTTCATAATGCTGTTTGAGGAAGATTGAAAAGTGCCCCACCCAGTTCCTGGCATACAGTGCGTGGAGCTATTGTTATTATCATCTTGGAAAGGAGGGTGGAGAATTCCCTCTGGAGCCTAAGCTGGTCACTGAGTCATGGAATCCTACCAGGCTGAGACCAGAAGGCACCGGGCAAGTTTGCTCAGACACATCAAGAAAACTGCAGCTCAGAGAGGTTAGCTGAATTTCCAAAAGTTGCACAGTGAACGGAAAGGGAACCGCACAGTCAAAATTAAAATCTGATTCCTGGTCCAGGCTCCTGCCAGAACCTTCCCTGCCTTCACACCCCAGGTGCCTGAGGGACTGGCCCAGGGTAGAATTGGGCGGCTCGCCTGTTGAGTATCTCCTATCTGTGAGGCTCCTGGCTCTCCTTATGGTGGCCTCCCCTTGGGGCTCTGACCTCTGACATTTACTGAGTTGCTACCACATGCCAGGTGCCGTGCAGAGCCCCTCACCACGCTGTCTCGTCATCTCTCCCCCCCGGGCCTGGGACATGGTTATCCTATTTCAGATCATCAGACCAATGACAGCCACCAGTACTGATCACTCATGGCCCAGTGCTGTCCCGTGGCGGCACAGGCCAGCACTGCAGTGAGCACTCTATATGTACCCTGTCATTCAGTCCTCACAGGGACCCCAGTGAGCAGTCAATACTATTCCCATCTCACAAATGAGAAACTAGATCAGAGAGGGAAGGTGGTTTCTCCATAGCCACACAGTATTAGATGGTGCAGTTGGGTGTTGCTACACACTGAAAACCACCTGTTTCCATGGAGATTTGCCCCATAGGAGTGAAGTTCTAATGGGGGTTCCTGGGTATCTTCGGGGAAACATTCTGGAGTCTGTGGATCCACGGAGACTTCTAGCCATGACGCATTTGCATCTGCCCATCATGCCTTTCGGTTTGCATTTGTATTGGGCCGGGCACAAATCCTGGCTCAGAGAAGATAAGATGGGCCCACAGCGGGGTCAGACGATGGGACTTAGATCCTGGTGAGGAAAGTGACTTGCGCTCCTCTTCCTCCTCTGCTGTGTGACCGTGGGCAGTCACTTGGCCCCTCTCTCTGGGGCGGAGAGAATAGGAAGTGGGAGAACAGTGGGGCCTCTCTCAGCACGTTGTGAGGATTGAGTAGAACCGAGATGAACACGCCGGTATATTTAGCATGAAGCTGGCATGTAGTGGCTACTCTAAGCACCCCAGGGTGGTAAAACACTCAAGGCCACATTCGAGGAAACGGTGAAGCCCGTGACACCCCAACTGTCTGATGGTAGAGCCTGGGCTCTTGGCCACTTCACTGTCCTGCCCAGGAGCCCATTTTGTGGCTGAGGTAACTGAGTCCCACAGTGGGAAAAAGACTATTCCCAGTGCTGCGTGGGGAAGTCAGTGTGCACTGAGTGGTTTGGGGGCTGACCTCTTCTCTCTTGTAATTTCGTCTAGTCCCAGGCTGGCTCAGCCAGTAATGGGGCTGTCGGTGACGTCCACAAGGTGCATCCCTTCCTTGCTGGGACCAGTTTTTTGTTTAATTGTGGCAAGTTATACATAACGTAAAATTTACCATTTTAGGGACGCCTGGTTGGTTCAGTTGGTAGAGCTTGCGACTCTTGACTTCGGGGTTGTGAGTTTGAGCCCCAGGTTGGGTGTAGAAATTATTTAAAAGTAAAATCTTAAAAAAATTGCATTTTAACTTTTTTTTTTTAGTTTTCAAGGAGCTTGTAATTTATCTCAGGAAACATGATATATATATTTAAAATGGAGATCTATTTTTATGATATCAAATGGCATCATCCCAAATGCACGAGAGGGGGAAATAGTGTGGGCCACACCACAGAAACTCTAAGATCTGTCTTCCCTTGGAGTCTGTCCCGCCAGCTCTCTCTCCCGGTTCCCGGTTCCCAGAGGTACCGCCCACCACCCCCTTGGTCTGTCTTCTGTCTGTGACCAAAGTGACATTTGTGTAATGCAGATCTGATGCTCTGCTTCCACACCAGCCTTGCTCATGGCTCTCAGGAAAAGTGCAGACTCCGCGGCACTGCCCGCAGGGACCTGGGCCGTCACTTCTGTCATCCCCAGAGCCTCTCTTGCCAGCTTCCCCGAAGCTACAGTGCTTCTCACAGCTTAGCAGGTGCTAATCCCCTTGTGGAACACCTTTCCCTTCCTCACGGAGCTAACTGCGGACTCTGCTTTGAAAACTGCCCCCTCCGTTTTCCTTATTGTGAAATACACATCATGTGAAACTGACCGGTGTAACCATTTTTACCTGCAGGCTTCAGTGGCTGAACTACATTCAGTTGTCTGCTGCCAGCCCCACCCTTCATCTCCAGAACTTTTTCATCTTCCCAAATTGAAACTCCCTACCCGTTCAGTAATAATCCCCACCCCCACCCCCAGCCCCTGGAACCCCCAGTCTGCTCTCTGTCTCTGGTTTATGGCACTCACTGTAATGTCCTCAAGGTTCATCTGTGTTGTAGCCTGTGTCAGAATTTCCTTCCTTTTTAAGGCTCAGTGATATTCCACTGTATGGATAGACCACGTTTTGTGGTCCACGGACACTAGGTTGGCTTCCACCTTTTGATCGTTGTGAATAATGCTGATATAAACATGGGTATGCAGATACCTGTTTGAGTCCTTGCTTTAGACTAATACCCAGAAGTGGAGGGCCAGTTTGTTTTAAACAAAACATCTTTATTTTTTTTGATGTTTGTTTTTGAGAGACAGAGACAGACAAAGCACAAGTGGGGGAGGGGCAGAGAGAGAGAGAGAGGGAGAGAATCCGAAACTGACTCCAGGCTCACAGAGCCTGATGCGGGGCTCAAACCCACGAACCACAAGATTATGACTTGAGCTAAAGTCAGACACTTAACCAACTGAGCCACCCAGGTGCCCCTAAACCAAACAACTTTAAACTGTGGCCCCAACCCTCCACTGCCTCTCTCACCTACCCAGTGCCCCAGGAATGGTTCTAAGAACCCGTGTCCCTGGCTTTAAGGACAACCAGGAGAGAGCTGAATGATCAGTGATAGCCTCTTCCCCCCATGCCAAACCACACCCAGCTCCAGAGCGGCCCAGCGTGCCTCAGGAGGTAGTGAGCCCCTCATTGTTGGCAGTGTGCAAGCAGTAGAGGCCGCCTTACTGGTGATTCTTCATTAGAAAGAGGCTGGACCAGTCCAATGCCTAGGAACCCTGCAGCCTGAAAACACTAAGATACAGGGCTTCCTAAGTTCTGATGCTCTGTTCCAAGAGCCCGGCTGCTAGGACGCAGCCAGTGTGTTGGTGCCTCTCTGTTGCCGCTGTTCCCCTGAGTGCATTTGGGGGAGGGGGTTTGTAATCGTAGCACGGGGGCAGCTCCGTGTCCGCCTTGGCTTCTCACACTGCGTCATCAGTGTCAGTCCCTGTTGCTCCTCAGCCCGGTGACGTTTTCCTTTCCTGCCCCTGTAACAGTCGTGTGGTAAGTGGGCCACCCTGGCCCCTGCTGCAGGACATTTCGGCTGTCTGCAGTCTCCTGAGATTCTCACAAGCCCATAAAACCTACAGCTTTGTGCCTATTTTATTTTTGTCTTAATTAAAAAAATTTTTTTTTAATGTTTATTTACTTTTGACGGGGAGGAGGGGCAGAGAGAGGGGGAGACACAGAATCCGAAGCAGGCTCCAGGCTCTGAGCTGTCAGCACAGAGCCTGACATAGGGCTCGAACTCACAGACCCTGGGATCATGACCCGAGCCGTTGACCAGGCGCCCCTTGTCTTAATTTAAAAGTTTTCTTCTTTAGGGGCGCCTGGGTGGCTTAGTCGGTTAAGCATCCGACTTTCGCTTAGGTCATGATCTCGTGGTTCTTGGGTTCGAGCCCCGCGTCGGGCTCTGTGCTGAGTGCCAGCTCAGAGCCTGGAGCCTGTTTCAGAGTCTGTATCTCCCCTCTCTCTCTGACCCTCTCCTGCTCACGCTGTTTCTCTCTCTCTCTCACCCCTAGAAATAAATAAAACATTAAAAAAAAAAGAATTAGAGTGAACTGAAAGGCCAGGCCCCCGATTGCAGTGGGGAAGCTTCTTGCATGTCTCCCATGGACATGATAACAAGCCAGAGCCAGGCCCTGATTCGGGCACTTCAACCAGCTCACAAGATCGGGGCTGTGGGTCTCTGTTGGTTTTTGCTGGCACTGGAGGGACTCTTTCTATCCCAGGGGGGTTTGAAATTAAACGAGACTGCCATCGATGAGCCAGTGGGCCCTTGGCACAGACAGACCCGAGCTCAAACCCCAGCTCCTCAGCTTTCTTGCTGTATGACCTTGGTCACGTCACCTGAGTCATTTTCCCCATTTGTAAGTGGGAGGCTACAACACACTTACTCCAAAGTGTCAATGACACTTAATGCAGATAAATAAGGTGCTTGCTTAGCACAGTGCCTAGGACTGGATAACTCATAAAGGATAGCTGTCACTGTCAGCCTGGACTCTCAGCACTGCTGTCCACTTGCTCGGTGATTCTGGAATGTTCTAACTTACCTTATCTCAATTTCCCCATCTGTAAAATGAGACTAATAGCCAGGATGTTCTTTATGTTTATAAAACACTTTTTCTGGCATTTGCGTATCCCTTCGCCTCCAAAAGGCAGCCAGGGGTAGGAGGCAGGGCTTGGGGTGGGTGCTGCAAGGTGTAACCGGAGTTATGATTTGGCCCGTGAAGAAGAAATTCGTTCTGCAAGTATTGCATTTAGCATCCCTGTTGAACTTGGCTTTGCCAAGAGAGATGGGTAACAGGGGCCATCTCTAGGGACGTTTCTACTCTTGGGAGGAAGGGAAGGGGAGACGGGAGGCAGCTACATTTCAAGCAGAGTGTGCTGTGCCCCTTGTGACCGCTCCAGAAAGTAAGGTGTGGGGTCCCTCAACCTCCTCTCCATAGGGCCAGCCTTTCCCTGTAAGGCTGTTCCTGCCCCGCCCAGCTCTAACCCCTTGATGGATGCCCTCTGCTCTTAGGATCAACACCACAGTTCTGCACGTGGGGCCCCACCAGCCTGGCCAGGCTCCCCACTCCCCACTCGCCAAAGCTCGGCCACAGGGGCCTCTTTCTCTTTCTCCATTGCCTGGCTCAGGCCTGCCCCAGAGCTGCCTCCGCCTCTGTTCCCTCTGTCTGGAACCCTCTTTCTTTCTTCCCCTCATTCTTCAGCTCAGCTTAAATGTCACTGTTCAGGGAGAGGACCCGCCACCCCCAGTCTAAAGTAGGCCCCCCTCAGTGACTCTCAGGGCAGCACCTACCAGGTGTAATGATTGTTGAGTGTCTTTAATGTATACGGGTGGAGGCTGTGTTTGTCTTTCTTGCTCTTGACTCTTTTTTTTTTTTTTAAAAGTTTTATTTATTTCTAGAGGAGAGAGGAGACAGCGTGAGCAGGGGAGGGTCAGAGAGAGAGGGAGTCACAGACTGAAACAGGCTCCAGGCTCTGAGCTGGCAGTCAGCACAGAGCCCGACGCGGGGCTCGAACCCACGAACCGCGAGATGATGACCTAAGCGAAAGTCGGACGCTTAACCAACTAAGCCACCCAGGCGCCCTTCTTGCTCTTGACTCTTAAATGCCTGGGTGAGGAGCTGGGGCTGTTTGGGGGAAGACAGACGGGTGACCAGGTATATCGGGTGGCAGGCCTGGTTCCCAGGAAGGTCGGTCTTTGGGGGCGCCAGCTGTGAGTACCGGGGCATCACCAGCCCTCGAAGTGATCTCAGCCAGCCCCAGGGAGGCCAGGGGCTGGACTGACTCCAGCTTGGGCGGAGGAGCCAGGAGAGGGAAGGGGTTAGACCCCCGCTGCGGTCGAGACAGGTCCAGCCCCAGAGCAGGAAATCACAGCCACTCACAGTTCTACATTCCATTCATTCAGCAGATGTTTCTCATGTGCTCGCTGTTTCCTGAGGCCTTAACGTCCGTCTGGGGCTATGCCAGACACTTGCGTTTGTTCACTAGGTAGTCGCTGAGCTCCCGCTGTGAGCCAGGCACCGTCCCCCGATTTCTGGGACTGCCACAGTGAACAAAACCCCTGCCCCGTGCCGCTTAGTGCTAGAAACGGGAGGGGGGTCGCACAGGAGTCACATAGAAAGCCAATCAGATGATAGTCAGTCCTAAGGAGAAAAACGAAGCAGGGAGGGGGGGAAAAGAAGCCTGAGTGGGTTACACTGCAAAATTCCCGGAGCACGTGGGTGACTCAGTTAGTTGAGTGTCCGACTTTGGCTCAGGTCATGATCTCCCAGTTGGTGAGTTCAAACCCCACATCGGACTCACTGCTGTCAGCTCAGAGCCCACTTCGGATCCCTGTCCCCCTCTGTCTCTCTGTCCCTCCCTGCTCACTCCCTTTCAAAAATGAATAAAACATTAATAAAATGAACTAAAATGAAATTCCCGTGATAAGATGATTCCCATCTTACAGTAGGGGAAGCTGAGGTTCAGAGAGGTTGAGTGAGTTGTATAAGGTCACACCAGAGCTGGTCTTCTGGATTATCTATCTATCTATCTATCTATCTATCTATCTATCTATCTATCTATCTATTTTTTACCACTCTGCTTCCCCTCACATCAGAAACAGTGTGATCCAACTTTTTGGAGGCTTGATTTCCCCAGTGCCCTCTGGTGCTTGAAAGTTAAATGGGATAACACCTGGGGAGGAGGCCCAGGCATGAGGAGGGAAGATTCGGGGACATGGAATGGGTGGGTCATGTCTGCTCCTGCTGGGACGGGGGAGGGGAGAAGAGTCAGGGAGTCAGGGTGCCACCCTTCCCTCCCCACAGGCGTCCTGCCTCTGCGGCTCTGCCCCCTGCATCCTGTGCGCCTGCTGCCCCTCCAGCCCTAACTCCACCGTGAGCCGCCTCATCTTCACGGCCTTCCTCTTCCTGGGGGTGCTGGTGTCCATCATCATGCTGAGCCCTGGCGTGGAGAGCCAGCTCCACAAGGTGAGTGGCCCTGGGGGCGGGGCGGCCTGGGGACTGGCCTGTGTGAAGGCTGGGGGGCCGGGGCACAGGAGTGTCCCCGTGCGCCCACGGACCCAGCTCGGTGATGGGGGCATTGCTTCATGTGGGGAGGAGAGTTCGAACCTCACGTGGGGATTATGGCTTCTCAGAGGCCCCCTCCTTGGAGAATCTTACTAATTATCATTGTTCCCTGGACACTGGCCGGGGCATGCTGTCCCCTGCTTAGTGCTCAAGCCCTGTTTGGGGTCCTCACTTCCCTTCCTCTCTGCGTTTCATAGCCTGGCACAGACCCAGAGTGACTCTAGGCCTGTGGCTCTGGTGTGTGTGTGTGTGTGTGTGTGTGTGTGTGTGTGTGTGAAGGTACGAATGACCTGGGGAGTGTGCTGGAAATGCAGGTTGTCAGCCCCCACCTCAGAAACCCCAGAGGGGCCCTGGAATCTCCGGGCATCCTGGCATAGGTGGTGGGAGGGGAGCATGTGAGGAAATCCACGCTTTCCACAGAGCCATGCGCCCTGAGGCTGCAGGCGCCACTGCAGAGTGACTGACTCTGGGTCCCCATCTGTCCCGGGTTGGGGAGAGGCACTCACTCACAGGGGTTCAGCCCCAGTGGTGGGTGGGGGTGCAGATGGGGGGGAAGGAGGGTGCTCCCCTCCTGGCAGAGTTGGCCCAGGGGTTGGGGGCGGGGCCCTCATGCTGCTCTGTGTCCCCACAGCTGCCATGGGTGTGTGAGGAGGGGGCCGGGACCCCCGTGGTCCTTCAGGGCCACATCGACTGCGGCTCCCTGCTCGGCCACCGCGCCGTCTACCGCATGTGCTTTGCGACAGCGGCCTTCTTCTTCCTCTTCACCCTGCTCATGCTCTGCGTGCGCAGCAGCCGGGACCCCAGGGCCGCCATCCAGAACGGGTGAGGGCGCCCCTGCCCGACTGCAGCTCCGGCCCTGTTCCCCACTCAGGAGCCACCCAAGCACAGAGAGCGGCTCCTTCCGTTACTCCCACTGCTCAGATGGATATGTCAGAAAGGGCAAGAATGTGCCTAAGGCCACACGGCACTTTAGCAACACAGTTGGGGCAAGGACCTGGGTGACCACTGCCGCTCCAGCTTGACCCTTCCCTCTGCCTCTCAGGGGTTTCTTCAAGGGCCGGGATGGACTTCCTGTGCCCATCAGACCGCTAGAAAGTCCCTGTTCACCTGTCCCAGTACCTGCCCTTTGGGGGATGGGGTTCTGGGGGCCAGGCCTGGTCCCCTCCCCCACTCAGCCCCCTTGGCTGTCCTCCCCGCCCCCAATAGGTTTTGGTTCTTTAAGTTCCTGATCCTCGTGGGCATCACCGTGGGCGCGTTCTACATCCCTGATGGCTCCTTCTCCGATGGTAGGTGGCCCTGGTGGGAGGGATGGGGGGCTCCCAGGAGGGATGGGGGGCTCCAGAGAGACGAGCGCTGGTGGGGGTGGCTCTGTGCCCTGGCACAGGGACCCTGGGCTGTGGGCTGGGTCGCTGCCCCCCACCCAGGGAGACGGCACTCTGGTGCTTGGCCACATGGCCTTTGGACAACATGGGGGGGACAGGCGGAAGCTGCCTCAGCCTCACGCAGACCCCGCCACCTGCCACGCGGCACCGTGTGCGTGGCTAGGAGCTTCCTGAGGGCAGGGACACTGCTGCTTCTCAGGGTCACCGCCGCAGGGCGTGGCATAACCGACTGTCGAATGAGTAAATGTGTGTGAGAGGGAGACGGCCGGAGCGTGCCCGCTGCATTAATCCCGGGAAGCCTGGTGCCCGGGCTGCCCCCGCTCGGCCCCGCCTCCCCTCCCCTCACCCGTGTTTCCTCTCCCCACCCAGTCTGGTTCTACTTCGGTGTCGTGGGCTCTTTCCTCTTCATCCTCATTCAGCTGGTGCTGCTCATCGACTTCGCTCACTCGTGGAACCAGCGGTGGCTGGGCAGGGCGGAGGCGTGCGACTCCCGGGCCTGGTACGCAGGTGAGCGCCGCCGGCCAGCCTCCGGATGCAGGGACCCGGCGCCCCCCGAAGCTACGGGAAGGCCTGGAGGGCATCTGTAGCAGCCCCTGCTCCAGGGCTGCGACTGAACTGTCCAGGGCAGATGACGGGAAGGGGCAGCTGGTCCCAGGGTCACTTTAGTGGGTGGCCAGAGGAGAGCCGAACCCGAGAGGCCTTGGCGGGGTTTGAGTTCAGTGGTTCCTACGGGACGGGCCATGCACAGCCAGCCCAGACCAAGCCCAATGACACTGGGTCACAGAAGCCCCCCATGGCAGGACAGGTGCCTGGTGAGCTGTCTTTCTGAGCAGATCAAGGAGAAAAGCTCGCTCAGGAGCTGGTTTGGTTTCATGCCTCTCAAACACGGCTGGTCTCTCTGACAGAGACAAGAGGGCTTCCTCAGGTCACCCTGCATCCAGTTGACTTAAAACAATTTACTTTTAATGTTTATTTATTTTTGAGACAGTGAGAGACAGAGTGCGAGCGGGGGAGGGGCAGACAGAGGGAGACACAGAATCCGAAGCAGGCTCCATGCTCTGAGCTAGCTGTCCGCACAGAGCCCGACGCGGGGCTCGAACCCACGGACCATGAGATCCTGACCTGAGCTGAAGTCAGATGCTCAACCGACTGAGCCCTCTCAGGCACCCCTCTGGCTGACTTTTTAAAAGACTGTTTTGTATTCATCATAGTTCTTTTCATGGTCAGCTTCTTTATGGCAAGGGAGTCTTTTCAGTTCAGGCGTTGATGAATGATGGACATTCCAGAGACCCTGACATCATTCCTCCAATGAGGAAGCCAAGGGCTCACACAGGGGACTGCCCAAGAAGCCCCCTCGAGGACCCGGGGGTCCCTGTGCCTCCTGACCCTTCTGCCTGCCATCCCCCCCTCCCTGCCCAGGCCTCTTCTTCTTCACCCTCCTCTTCTACATGCTGTCCATTGCGGCCGTGACGCTACTGTTCATCTACTATACCCAGCCCGGCACCTGCTACGAGAGCAAGGTCTTCATCGGCCTCAACCTCACTCTCTGTTTCTGCGTCTCCATCGTCGCCGTCCTGCCCAAGGTCCAGGTGAGCCCGCCTGTCTGCCGGTCCTGATGGGATGTGGGACTTCCGATGGGAACCTTGGGGTCCTGGGACAGAGGCTCGGGCTAGGAGTGTGGACTCCCAAGTCAGCCTCCCTGGGTTGGAGTCCTGGTTTGCACATCTGTGTGCTGGGTGTCTTTGGGAAAGTGCCTTAACCTCTCTGTGCTTTGCTCTTCTCACATGTAGAGATGAGGCTGATACCGACTCTTTGGAGTTATTTGCAGGACAGAGGTAGTTTGTGAACACAGAACAGGGTCGGGGGTATAGGTATCCATCAGACATTAACTATTGTTATCATTGTTGTCTTTATGGAAATCGGAAGACAGGGAGGACCACTGAGCGACGATTCCTAGACCCCTCAGCAAGGGGTGCTGGGAGGTGAAGTTCCACAGTTTCTAGTCCCAGACCATCTGGGGTACCGGGTGGGGCTCCCCAGGTCATCGTGTGCTTCAGAAAGCCTGCGAGCCCAGGGGTGCTTCGTGGTTGGGGATCTCAGCCCACCAGGGGCTTCACAGCTATCTTGCATGGCCTTTGAGGGCCTTGAGCAGAAAGGTGGGGAGCCTCCCTTCTGGTCAGGGCCCCTATTTCCAGGCGAGAAAATTGAAGCCCAGAGAGGGTGATGCCTCTGTCCCAGCTCACACAGCAATCAGTATTCATTCAACTACTACTTCTGGAACACCTGCTGTGTACCAGACCCTCCTGTAGATGTGGGGGATACAGCGGTGGGGAAGAGGGGGAACGATAACCACAGCTGCCAGTTGATGACATCTGTGCTGTCATTTAGTCGTGCACCATCATTGTCCCCACTTTCCACTTTCATACTTTCTTGGAGGAGGAAAGACACTCGCCTGAGGTTACCCTAGCAGGGGGCTGAGCTGGGGGTAGACTGGCCTCCAGAGCCTGTGCTTTTTTTTTCCTTTAAGTCATTTATTTATTTATTTATTTATTTATTTATTTATTTATTTATGAGATCAAGAGAGCACAAGTGGGGGGTGGAGGGGCGAAGAGAGAAGGAGAGAGAGAGAATCTCGAGCAGGCTCCGTGCTGTGAGCGTGGAGCCCGATATGGGGCTCAATCTCACAAAGCACAAGATCATGACCTGAGCCAAAATCAAGAGTCCGTACTCAACCGACTGAGCCACCCAGGTGCCCCTCGAGCCTGTGCTCTTAATCAGAGTTTAGATTCTTATTGTCAAGGGTATGTGTAGTGAGGGGTGGGGAAAGGCCCCTGACAGGAGACGAGGCCAAGTAAGGTAACTTGGGGAAATACGAGCTATGTGGGAAATAAAAGAGAGTGGACAAAAGGTGGGTGGGCGGGCAGGGTACGAGGGGCCTCCCTGGGAACTCGGAGCTGAGGCCTGAATGCTAAGGAGAGGAATGCTGTGTGGAGATGTTGGGGAGGGCCGTGTCAGACAACAGGCACAGCGAGTGCAAAGGCCCTGAGGTAGGAGAGGGTTTGGTAGGTTCTGTGGACAGAGAGGAGGCCACTGTGGCTGCAGTGCAGTGGGCAGTGAGGAGCTGAGGGGGGGCTCAGGTGGAGGCAATGGCAGGGGGGAAGCAGGGAGGGCTTTAACTCAGAGTGTGAAGAAGAGACCTTCCCCAGGAAATCTGTGAGGGGGAGGAATGAAGACGCCGTGTTTGGGCAGACGGGTGGGTGGTGGGTGGTCTGGCTACTGTGTTTCCCCAAGGGGTGTGGGCTGGGCTGGCTCTAGGGTGCCGGGGGTTTCTGAGGTCCCCTGGTTGGGGCGGAGTGGGCTAGGTGTGGGTGGGGTGTCCCCCAGGTCTGACGGGGGGCTTCCTGACGGACTGCCTTTGCCAGGAAGCCCAGCCCAACTCGGGTCTGCTGCAGGCGTCGGTCATCACGCTCTACACCATGTTTGTCACCTGGTTGGCCCTGTCCAGTGTCCCTGGTGAGTACAGGCCTGGATTCGAGGAAGCCTGGGCTCATTCTGGGGTCAGTAGGGGCCCTCCGGGGATGCTGGGGACCCTCACAGGTGTCAGGGACAGCTCAGCCCAGCCCCGTCCCCATGCTAGTCCTTCAGGGAGGACCGTGTCCATTCCAGGAGCTATTTCTCTGTCATCTGTCTGCTAAGTTCTGTCTGTTGCTGGGATTTGGATGGTCAGTTGCATGTCTGTCTGTGCATTTGGGCTGGCTGCCTGCCCTACCTCGGACCCGGCCCACGTGGGCCGAGGGTGACCGTGCTCCCCTCCCCAGACCAGAAATGCAACCCCCACCTGCTCACCCACTTGAGCAACGGGACGATCCTGGCGGGCCCTGAGGGCTACGAGACACACTGGTGGGACGCACCGAGCATCGTGGGGCTCGTCGTCTTTGTCCTGTGCACCGTCTTCATCAGGTATGGCGGGGGTCTGGCTTCTGGGGAGGCGTCCTGATGGCATGAGCAAGGGGAAGACGGCGGAGCCATGAGAGCAAGCGGGAAGGCGCCCTCGGTGAGGGCACGTGCAGCATTGTGCTGGTGGGGAAACTGAGTCCTGGGGTGGGCACTGCGTGAGTGGGCAGCAGAGGCAGGGCAGGATGCCGCCCCCTGGCCCAGGGACCCTTCTTGCCCATCCGCTGGCACGTGCCCAGCTCAGTAGGGTGTGGGCACCTGAGAGGGCAGGGGAGAAGCCTGGCCTGGGGTCAGCAGGTACAGGCCGGCACTCACCCTGTTTCTTTAGTCTGTACTCTGTGCCAGGCACAGCGCTAGGGGCTTTCCATTATTAATACTCCTGGCAACTCTACAAGGAAGGTACTCTTATCCCCAATTTTACAGAGGCTCTGAGAGGTGAAGTGGCTTGCCTCAGGCCACAGAGCGGGTGGGAGTGGAGTTCAGAGTCAGAGCAGTGAGTCAATCCCTGGGCCCAGAGCCTAATCACCAGATCACCGGGCCCCTGAGGTTCTAGAACCATTGTGCCCATTGCTGTGACCGGCGCCCTAGCTCTTGGAGCCGCGCACCTGCCTACTTCCTCCCTCCCTGCCCCACAGCCTGCGCTCCTCAGACCACCGGCAGGTTAACAACCTGATGCAGACAGAGGAGTGCCCATCCATGCTGGAGGCCACGCAGCAGCAGCAGCAGGTGGCCTGCGAGGGCCGGGCCTTCGACAATGAGCAGGGCGGTGTCACCTACAGCTACTCTTTCTTCCACTTCTGCCTGGTGCTCGCCTCCCTGCACATAATGATGACGCTCACCAACTGGTACAGGTGCGTGCCGCCCGGCCTTGCGGGGACGGGCTCTGCCCTGCTGGGGTGTGGCGTCCTCTCCTCTGGCCCCTCCCACGTTCTTCCTGAAGGTTTGGGCAAGGAGGTGATGTCCAGGACCCGTCCACGTCCCAGCTTGCACCTTCACTAAGTGCCTGCGAGGGGGGACCATAGAAGGGGACCATGGGCTTGTGTAGGGCAGGTGGGGTTTATAGATCATAGGTGGCTATTTGCATTCTGAGCTAAGAGTTGGGATTCATGGCTGGAGGGTCAGGGTTTAGGGTGTGTGGTTAGAATCAAAGTCACAGGGTCAAGAATAGGAGTCAGGGGGTCAAGGGTTGGGACTGGGAGTGTACAAAGTCACAGACTTGGCTGTTGGGTTAAAATCGGGGTTAGCAAGCCATAAAGCCAGGATCGAAGTTCCCAGGTCAAGGAACGAAGGTCAGAGGAACAAGGTCAGGGGCCGGAAGTGGTGTTATAGAGTCAAGGGTCAGATTTCAAGGTCAGAGATATCAGAACTTGATCATAGGATCCGGGGCCGGGGATGGAGTTACAGGATTGAGGGTCAGAGGCCAGGTTGGAGGGTCAGGACCAAGATCAGAAGCTCCAGGGTCCCAAAGTGAGGTTATAATATAGTCTAAGACTGCATCAGTGTTGAAATTGAGGTCAGGGGCAGGTCGGTGCATTAGTCAAAAGCTACATTGAGGGTCAAAGACATAGCCAAGGCCAAGTGTCAAAACTATCTGAGATGGAGGCTTGGGTTACAAGGTAAGAGCCAGAATTGAAGTCAGAGGTCACACCGGAGTCGTAAGGGCAGGGCCAGAACTGAGGTCTCAACACGGCGGTGGGGGGGGTGTGTATGCAGGCTCACTGGGGTCCCGGTGTGTTGCAGACCCGGCGAGGCTCGGAAGATGGTCAGCACGTGGACGGCCGTGTGGGTGAAGGTCTGCGCCAGCTGGGCGGGGCTGCTCCTCTACCTGTGGACCCTGGTGGCCCCCCTCCTCCTGCCCAACCGAGACTTCAGCTGAAACGGCCCCCTGCAGCCTGCCCGCTCCGAGCCTCAGGGCTCAGTGAGTCCTCCACGCTGAGCCCCTCCCCCTCCCCCCTCCAGGACTTGCCCCTGAGCTGGGCCCCCTCCCCCCCCCCCCATTCTAAGTGCCTTCAAGGGTTGGGAGCAGCAGGCACAAGCCTGAGCCTTACCTTCCCACCACCTCCCGGCCACAGAACTGCGTCTTCCTTACCCTGTCCCCTGTCCCCTGTACTCACCCTCTTGGGAAAAAAGGGCCCCTTATTCTCAGGCTCCCCCAGGAGAAGGTCCTGAAGGAGAGAAGCGCTCAGAGCCACTCAGAGAGTGGGAGCATTCCCCAGGATGGGGTGCCCAGCACTGAGGCCCGATCGTCCTGACCACGTCCCCCAGGGCACCCCGCCCCCTTCCCCGGACTCCGTGCCTTACCGAGTCTCCAAGACTGATCGCAATAAAAACAAGCCAGTGCACGTGTCTCCCCATGTTCTGGGCCCCCTGTGCCATCTGGGGCCAGGGTGGGGGTGGGAACAGGATGTCAGCGCTGAGGAGGCCGGGTGACGGGCCTGGGCTCTGTTCAGTAGGTCATGGGAAGCCTTGGGTGGAGGCGGGGCAGGCTACTGGAGAAGGAGGGGGTTTGGAAAAAGGAAGTCTAGGGGCCAGGAAAGGGCCTGGAACAGCGTCTGCGCGAGGGGTGGTGAGGCCAGAGTCAGGGTGGGGAGGGGGGCTCCTGCAGGGCGGTTGAGGGGCCATGTTCAGTGTCCTACTCGCGCCCGCCCTGAGCCCCCACCCACCTCTGGCCTGCCTCCGGGGTCCTTCTCCGTCCTGCCATAGCCAGAGTCCTTGGCACCTGCTTTGGGTCAGGTGCCTTAGGGAACGCGGAGAAGCATCTGACCCATCTGCGGACTCAGGGTGCTGTGGGGAAGAGCATGCACTTGAGTCAGCCAAGCTGGCTTGGGTCCAGTGGATCTTGGGACTCCGTGGGACTCCAGGCAAGTCTTTCCCTCTGGGTGCTGGCTCCTCATTCATCAGCCGGGAAAACGCCACCCACTCCCAAGCTGTTGGCAGGCACAGATGGAGGAGCCCATGTGAAGTGCCTGGCAGGTGCTCAATAAATATGATCGGTTGCTGTCTGGGGGGGGGGGGGGGGGGGGGGGGGGGGGGGCGGAGGGAGGGGACACAGCCTGGCTCCTGGTTCGGCCCCAGGGCCTGGTTTGAGCTGATGACTGACTGAAGGCCATGCACCACTTCCGTGTGTGGGTGTGACGCGTAGGCATGGACGGGACTGGGTTTGCAGGGTGCTGGGGGTGCAGTGGCCAGGGACACGGCTTGCTTCCAGGGAGCTCTGGGATCGTGGGGGGTGCAGGGGGTGCAGGCAGCACAGGTGCCCAGGGGTGCACTGAGGGGACACCTGACATGGGCCAGGAGTCAGGCCAGACACCCTGGAGAATGCATGGGAGCCAGCCAGGTCAAGAGGAATGGGAGTGCTCAAGGCAGAGGGGTGTCATGTGAACAAGAGAGACAGTGGGGGAGGGGCGCCTGGGTGGTCCAGTCGCTCGATGCCTCTGGCTCTTGATTTTGGCTCAGGTCATGATCCCTGGGTCATGAGATAGAGCCTGCTTGGGATTCTCTCTCTCTCTTCCTCTGCCTCTCCCCCGATCGCATGAGCTCTCTGTCTCTCTCTCAAATAAAAAAGAAGTAAAAAATTTTTAGAGAGAGAGGCATTCCAGCATAATGAGTGTGGGGTGGCTGGTGTGCAGAGCGGAGGGTCGGGAGCATAATGAGTGTGGGGTGGCTGGTGTGCAGAGCGGAGGGTCGGGAGTCGGTGTGAGCTGGGAGAGGTGGGCTGGGCCTGAATCACACGGGCCCTTGAGGGCCATTGGTTGTTGAAGAGATCAGATGTTGCTTCCCCTGTAGAGGGGAACCTTGGAAGGTTCTGGAGCAAGGCAGGGGTGGTGAAGGCTGAGGTAACGGTGGGGAAGCCCTGGGGCAGGCTTGCAGCAGAGCAGTGACTTGGACAGGTTGCTATCTGAGAAGGATTGCCCTGGGTGACACGGAGGTATAGCAGCTGGGACAGACCCCAGGGCCAGGAAAGGTGGGGGGGGTGGGGGGGGGGTGGGCTGGGGCAGGGCTAAGGGAGGCTTCTCTCCACCCTGGGACAGGTCCTGGGGCTGCTCTTGGCCCTGGGCGCATTTCAGCCCAAGGAAACCCTCTCCACGAGGCGCAGCCCATTCCTCCCCCACCCGACGCCCCCTGACATTTCATTAGTTACCACGTTTCACCCTGGGAGAAAAAGCCAGCGCTGTGCTCCTGCCGGCCTTTCTTACGAATCTGTAGAAGCGGACCGTTCTGTCCTGCTTTTGTAGTCTTAGTGCTCTGTAGTCTTCAAATGATTCACTCAACAAATATGCACTGAGCGTGAGTTCTGGGCCAGGGTTGGGGCCGGCAGGGGGAGGCGGGGTGGAGGGGGCGCCTGGCTGGGAAAGAGGCAGAGGCCAGACTGAATGGTCTATTAGTTGATTCCGGAACAGCTGTGGGAAAGCCCAGAGGCTGGAGAGTTTGTAGCCAAGGAGGAGGGGGAGGTGTCCTGGGCTGGGTCAAGAGGACTGTGTTCTATTACCGAGATATACAGGGTCCGAAGAACATTGCAAGGCCTGGCTTTGAATCTGAGGCCGACAGAGTAGGTGAGGTCTGCTCACGGCATGGTCTGGTGTAGTGAGAGGGCAGGCTTGCCCGGGGACTGAGGAGCATCATGGTGAGGGGTGCATGGCAGAGGTGGTGAGGGGTGAGTGGCAGACGTGGGAAGGCCCAGGCTATGGCATTCGGAGATTACAGACGACAGACCTGCAAGACCCTCCCAGTTCCGACACCAGTTGCAAGGTCACGGGTTTCCAAAGTTTGGTTACTCACTAGACGGACTCACAGAACCCACTGAGAGCTGCTGTACTCACGGTGACAGTTTATGATAGGAAAAGGGCAAAGGTGAAAATCAGCCAAAGGAAGATTCTGTGAAAATCAATCAAGGGAACCTCATCAAAGTGGAGAAAAGAGTAATCAGTTACAGCCCCAGCGGGAAACGCTGTACATTTAACTTCCTATAAGAAACTGACAACCCCAGCCCCTCAGCCAATGAGAAACCTGTATCACCCTGAGTTCTTGCTTTTCTCCAGTGGACTTTTGTTCAAAAACCATCCCTCCTAACTTCCTTCTTCTCCATAAAACAACATCCTTCTTTTTTGTTTGTTGGCTTAGCCTCCGGTTTGTGTCAGAGCTTGCTTGTCCCGAGCTGCAACGCTCTGATAACCCCCAAATGAGCCTATGTTATGCTGGTAAAATAGCGATTTTATTTTTAAGGTCAACAACAGGCGGGGTGGAATGGGATCGGAGCTTCCGGATGCCGAGCTTTCATTGTCCTCTCCCCCACGAGGTCAGGATGCCTTCATTTACCTGCGTCCGTGAGCGAGAGTTTTCACGAACACTGCCAACAGGGCAGCTCACCTGAACTTCGGTGTTCAGAGTTTTGACTGGCCTCTGGGATGCAGGCAGGATTGGTTGAGTGAGGCTTGGTCCAGCCCAGTCTCCAAGTCAACTGACAAAACATGGGACCCAACCCCCCACCCTAAATCATCTGGTTGGTCTTCCTGGTGTGGCCAGCCGCCACCCTAAATTGCATTGTTACTACCTGGCTAGTCCGAAACCCCCAGGGAAGCAAAAATCACAGGCCAGGAGCTGAAGGCAAGGACATACCCTTTTTTGGCAAGGTTAAAATCTATTTTTTCCAGCTTTATTGACACATAATTGATACTTAACATCATAACATCGTGTAAGTCTGAGGTATACAATGTGTTGATTTGATACATTTATAAATTGCAGAATGATTACCACCATAGTACTAGGTACCCCGGCCCTTGTTATCATATAGTTACCATTTCTTTTTGGTGGCGAGAACTCTTTTTTAAGATCTACTCTCTTAACAACATTCAAAAATATGTTACAGTATTATTAGCTGTAATCACCATGCTGTACATTACATCCCTATACTGGCTAATCTTGTCTTGGGAGTTATTCCCTTTGACCACTGCCACTCCATTTCCCCCACTCTCAATGCCTGGTCACCATTAAATTCTTTATTACTTACAAGATCAGCCTGGAAAGTGACATGACTTTTGGACCTCGAGAGATCCTGAAGGAGCCACTGCCTGTACCTCTAGCCTGAGCAGTCTGGGGCTGGTGGGTTGAGGACTTATGAGGAAACACAGCTAACACTTAATGGGGACTTCCTACGGGCTCAGCCTTTTCCATGTATTACATCATCTAACCCTCTCACCTTCTCCACGAGCAGGAAATATTCATGGCCTCATTCTGGGTATGAGAAAACCAAGCAAGGAGGGGTTTATAACTCACTCAAGGGACACAGGGAGTGAAGGGAGAGCCTAGGATTTGGACACGTTTCTGGGTGACACCCAAGTCCAAGTTCTCTGCTGTCATGCCTCCTATGTTCTAAAACCACGCATTTGGAGTCCAAAATATTGGATTCAAATTCTGGGCCCAGACACTTACACGCTGTGTGGTCTTGTGCTGGGAGCCATGCCGGCCTCACTGGATGACAGTCACAGTGAGGAAATGGCAGTGTTTGCACAGCTCCTGCCATGAGAAACAAAACTGGTATCTCTTGCTACTACCGGCTCATGTTGGAAATGAGCCTTCTGGTATTGACCAGGCCTCACAATATTCCAGATCAGACCGATATTCCCCACACAGATTCCTCATAAGGAAAAGCATATTCCTGCCTCTTCAAATGAGATTTTAGCTGAAAGCACTGTGGATGATTGTCAAAAGGCTCTTCCTATGGGCCTTGCAGATCCAAGACTTAGATAATAAAGGGGGCTAAGAACACAAGAGTTACAACTGAGCCTGGCCCTGAGACAAAGAGCCTAATTTAGAGCTAAGGAACAGATAAGGGCAGAACTTAAGTTAATACTTATACCTTTTCTAACTGGTGATGTATGGCAGTCCCTTCCCTAAGACCTACTTTCCACAAACACCTTCCCTTACACTGGCGGCTGGGATGAGGATAGACTAGAGTAGCTAAAACATAACCCAAAAACAAAACATTTAGGGCCTCCATGGGGTTTACACATTCAGCATCAAGTCAAAAAAGTTTCCCAAACGACTTATTAACCAGCTCAAAAACATTCGTCCTCATGTGAGCCAGACAGAATGACTCCCAGCCCATGTATACAACTTCACCTATGTCCTAAATCCTAGCGTTATTAACATAGAACAAATACGTATGTCATCCTGTTTTTCACTAGGAACATCCTGTTATTTCCTTAGTTGTAAGATTTACTCAACCTCACTATGATTGGGGTAATTCTGCAAGAATACTTCCGAAAAACCTGTTCTTGTACACTTTTCGAAGCATCTTATCCCAAAGAGTTTTCCCTTGTAGAAATTCCTTTTTCTGATCTCATGTTG